TATTGAATTTCTTAATGCGGATTAAAACATTTAGATGTATTTAATAACACCTCTGATACAACCAAATTATTAAAAGTTTGAAAGTTTCTGACTATGTTTTATATTACGTTTTGCTAAACAATATAATATATACGATATTACTAAGTACAATTGGTTTTTGTGTACTTCAAACTTCAGTTCTTTGGCCAATCGGCGTCKGCGTACCTCGCTTTGTGAATTAATTCAGCCGCGATGGGCAATCTGCCCACAGCGGATAGCACTTCGTATATTTCCAAACGTGATTCAAACTAATCTCTAAACTTTCCTAATATCTCTGAGAACAATTTGAAATTTTTATAAAAATCAGTAGGGTAGTCTTCGAGTACATAAGCCACTAACATAAATTAATATAGGTATATACATATAATACCGATATACTGTGTATCAAAAAAATAAATTCCTTTGTATGATTCAGTTACTTCACTTACATAGAAGGTTCCAAGTCTTTAAGTCTCATTCGAATGTAGATTCATTTTTATATAAATAGATAATATATCTACCGTGTAAATTAACTGCATATCATGTTAAGCGTAATAAGTAATGACGATTGTAAAATTATGTAACATCTTTGTACTTTATTTGACCTATGGGTGAAGATTGAGTGAAGGTTATTTATTATATATTATAATATATTATTAGATCTTCAAAATCATTTATAACACCTAATTCCCATTAAATAAAAAATAAAAAAAATAAAAATAAAATAAATACATATATCATACATTCGCCTATGTTTATGCCAACAATAAGTAATAATGCACAGCAAAACGACTCGATCATAATAATTTCTACCCGCTGTCACACACCACAACTTGGCAAATCGTCTATATATTATGAAAACCCCAACGTTTGCGGTTTTCCAAAATCGATTATGTAAAATTGTATAATAATATAATATACGGATGTACGCACGAATTATGCACATTATTAAATTAGGTATATAATATTATATAAATGTCTAGCAGCTGCAGTTATATTGTATGGTATTTTTTCAATTCTGGGCAACGTCTATCATCTATAAAACACGTCTTGTTAACTGTTGAGTTTTTCCGTAAGTACACATACGTTGTGTGTGTGTCTTAACCTAATCGGTAATCACATGTGTATATATAATATATAAATATACCACTCATGAAGACAATTTTTAATGGCATAAACGCAAAGAAGATTACTAAAATTGTCCACCGTATATTATGTAGCTGTCTTAATACTTACAAGATCGTTTTATTTTTATATTTGTAGGTATAGAGTAGGTATACCTCCTAATGACATTAGAAAGAGAGTTTTTTTCATGTACAATTTAAAAATGTATAATATCATTTGCATAATGAATTTGCAAGTTGAATTTACGCATGTTGATAAATCACACTAAAAAAAAGTTTCAAATAAAAAGACTTGGGAGAGTTTGAAGTTAAAATCGAATATAAAAAACTTAAGACTACAACTTGCGTAATAACCATAAATGTTTTACTTTTATGATAAAATGCACCTACATGCGGTAAGATTAATACAGGTTAACCTAACCTAACCTAAACTTAAGTTGTGTTAGTAAGATTTTCCGCTTAATTATTTACATCTACAAAAACGACGTAAGTATTATAAATCTTGGATTTTTCTTTAAAATTCAAAAATACCTACCTTGCATTAATATTCGTTAAATTTTGAATAGACTTTAAAATCAAAGCTTAAACGAGAAAATAAATCTGAAAAATCTAACAAAATATGAAAAGAATCATTATACTAAAAAAAAAAAGTTTCRTTTATTTTATAAGATATTCTATAATTTGTTTCTGGAGACGAAAATGGAATTAAGAATAAATTATTACCATTAAGAGCTCTGATACTAACGTTTATTAGGCCTAATATAATAGTAAATAAGAAACACGAGAAAGTACCACAAGACTCTTATACATTTGCCATAGTGATATTACATTGTTAAAGACAATAATGTTAGTATACACAAAACGAAAAAAAAAACACTTTTTCTCAAAACCATACGAAATTATGTACGGCGTTCATCTCAAAAATAATAAATAACAATAACATTTATTGCAACAACAAATATATAATATAGACATAATTTATATACCTATATGTATATTGTATAAACAAGGTGTCCCAGGGGATTTACCCATTGCGATATCTCCCGAAATAATGGAGATATCAAAATTCTGGTTTTATAATAAGATTCATAGGGATATGAACTACAATTATTCCATTTTTAAATTTATTTAAATGTTTTTGTAAGAAAGTTAAAGAATATATTTTTATATTTAATTATTTCCAAAAAAATTAAGATAGCCATTTTTTAGAGTTTATTTTTCTGAAAATATTGACGTTTCAAAATTTTATTTTCATTAATTTCCTGATTTCTAATACTTTTTTTAGTTTCGAAAAAATTGCGAATTATTTAATACCATAATGTTATCAAACATGTGACCCTCCACGCCGCGCGCATTCCCATACCACCGGCCGAATACTCTCCGCGTTCCTAATAGTTATAAATTTATAATCATATTTTATTTCTTCAAAACTAGAAAAAATATAAAAATCAGGAAATTAATGGAAATAACACTTTGAAACGTCAATATTTTCAGAAAAATAAACACTACAATAATTGTAGTTCTTATCCCTGTAAATCTTATTATAAAACCAGAATTTTGATATTTCAATTATCTCGTGAGATATCACAATGGGTAAATTCTCGCGGGACACCCTGTGGCCTGTAAATAATATATTATATATATTATATGTATATATATATATATATAAATAAACATTAGTTTCAAACTTATCCAATAAGCATATTATGTTCAAATGTGACTGAGGCGAGTTCATAGTAAAGAGTGGAATATATTGAAATTATTTACAACATTAGAACGCACTATGAAAATAATAACAAACTAAAGACAAGAGAAAATATTAATAATAAATTTCTTATGGTTAATGAAATGATCAAAATTAGCTGAAATAATATTACATTTTCGTGGAAAAAATTTACTTCTTATTATAAGGCTTTGAGTTCGCAAATTAGTATGATGTAACGGTATATTTAAATTTAAAATATTCTGTTTTGTCCTGGTATCATGACAATGTAAATATTAGTATTTATTTATATTAGCTTTAAATATGTATACAATCTGACGTTCGTAAGTTTGAATAAAAGTTAGGCATTTTAAATCAGAATTAATGTAATTAGTTTAATAAAATGTTGGTTTATTAAAAATAAATTCAACTAATGAATTCATAATAATTGTGTAGATAAAACATTGATATGTGTGTAATATGCATACAGCCAAACACCAAGAAACCACATGCAAAATGAAACTGTATTAAAGCTAAGCAAGTAAGCTTAGTAAGTTAATTCTATAAGAGATTTAATATCCAACATATTTATGAGCTATCCGAACTATTGAAATAATTTCCTAAAAAGATTGTTTACAAATTATATTTCATGTTTAACAAATTTACATTGATGATCAGAAAGTACCAATGATATTCATTATAGTCTTCTCTTTCCAAAGATAAACACAACGTACCTAATGATATTCTTTGATATCGTGCATGGCAGTTTTATAAGAATATCAGAATCTTTAAAGCAATTATCGAGAGTGACTGTAAATATAAAAAAGTTGAGCTGGTGTAGGTAATCGCTGTTCTGTACGGAGTATGTCGAGTGTCTCTCATCATCGAGTAAGACAGAGTAATGGATGTATTTGAGTTTAATAATATTAACCAATGCACGATATAAAATATTAAAATTTTCAATCATGCCTTTCAAACAAAACTTAATTCACCTCAAACCCGATTAAATATGGCACCAAAAGCGACACGAACAGATGAACAACGGGATGTAAGACCCCAAATCGCTCAAGTACGCAATGCTCAATCCCGATCATTTGAAAAAATTAAGCATTGCAAATCAAGACTAGAAACCGCTGAGTATGCAACGAGTTGTCATTATTGCAATGACTATCAACAAAGCATAGAGACAATCGATATAACAAGTGTGTGGTGGTCGTATGGACTACATTTAAAAAATCCTTGTTTCTTACATGTGCGCGTCGGAAAACCTTGCAAATTTATTTGTGTACGCATGAAAATAAAAATAAAATAATATTGTCTAAAATCACTTCAACAAACATGAATAAAGTGAGCCATTCAGTTTTTAGATTTTTCATGTAAAATGACCGAAAAGTCACAAAAAAAAAATAATACAAACTATAAATATCGTTATAAATTTCATATGAGTTCAATTTTGAATGAAGGCGTAGTTATGTGCACCGAGTTTAGCTAACAATAACAATGATAAAAATAATGTAAAATAAATAACTTTTTATATTATGTTAATATACATATACTAAAAATAAAAATAATAATTGATATCAAACTTTCAATTGTGTTCGCTATAATATATGAATATACCCACTTATGCAATATACTTTTTTTATTGACCAAGTTAAAAACTCAGCAGCAAATACCATTAGATATATTATATTTAAATTTTGTTAACATATATGAATTTAAATTTGTATGTATTTTTTATAATTGTTTGGAATATTACCATTTTTTTTCGTTACTTTAACTGTAAATTAATTTACTTGGTGAAATTGAATAGCGTAGGTTTCATACTTTCATTTATGATTAGACCCAAGTGTGGTGTCTAACACTGTTTACAGTATAATTATTGTGCAGTATGACAAACGCGACCGACGTATTTTATGTCGTTATAAATACTCGAAAACTCTGAGAAGATACAATAATTAAAGAGAATAAACAAAAAAATTGTAAAATAAATGTTTAAAAATGGCACAATGGCTTCTCGCATTATATAATTTTAATTTTCGTTTACTAATAAACCGATGTATATAAACAACGTTTCAATCCTTAGTGGATGTCATGCATACGATGAATTTTGTGCCCCGTTGTGATCTGTGATGTTTCGTGTGTTTCCACTTCAGGGGTGAACAAACGGTGAGTGGGCGGGCAGCCGAGTTCGATGCGTTGATCACCGTCACCGCCGCTGTAACAACGGTCGGCAGAAACGCTATGTCGGCCACGGCCACAGCCGTGTTGCTGGCCACAGCGCTGGCGCTGTTGCAGTGTGCGGCAACCGGTTACGCTGGACAGAGTGCGGCCATACGGCACGGCCGTTCGCGGAACGCCAGGAACCTGCGGCCGAACTCACAGGCACCGGCTAAGCCGCAGCAGACGGCCACGGCCACCGTCAGCGAGCTGGACAACGACATCGTTAACCGGCTGCTGCGGATCGTCGAGTCGCAACAACAGTTGGGAGACAACTGCACTGCCGGCACGCACCTCAACCTCGGCGAGGGCGTCGTCGACCGATACGCTCAGGTGAGTGACGTTTTGACCAATGAGTATAATATAGTAAGTAGTATATTAGCTGTACGAAAAAAGAACGAAATCGTATTTACGAAAAAAGATTTTTCAACGAATTACCCGAGATTAATGGCATTTTCCACCTAGTTGCACTATTGCACTAAGGGCGCACCGAGTGCCATTTGCGTGTTCCATCTACCACGATTCCAGTGCAATGTGTTCCATCTTGAAAAACTGCACTCGGTGCGGAACTTGCGCACGAGCTTTTTGAGACGGTTTTTGTTAACAGTTGTTATCACTACTGATAAAATATAAAAATTCAAAACTTGAAATCGTTAATTTATCGTACATCATACAATAACTCTACTAGTCATTGTGTTATATGGGTAGGCGGTATACTGTATAGCACCTACTTTTTTATAGAATTTAGAACAAAGAAAACTGAAAAGCGAAAAAAAAACAGCCAACAACATAAATGAAAAAAGAAAATATGTTTTGCAATTCGCATAAAATACAACTGTTATCAATAATTACGAGTGTACCATGATAATAATTTTTCTTGTTCCATAATATTATCTAGTAGTAAAATGTTGGTACTTGTGATAACACCGAACAGTGGAAGGTGGAAAATGCTATAAATAAAAATTTCCAAGCATCATCATTTGAATGGATATTTTCTTATTCATGAGACTAATCGATTTTAAACAAAAATATTTTAATATTTTCGTATTTAATAAAATATTGTCAATTTTCATAATACATAAACATAATATTTCGAAGATCATAGAAATAAAAAAGAAATTAATTAATAATACAGATAAAATATATCACTCTGTAAACTATAAGAAAAAAAAAGTTATTCTTGGAGATACTCTTCGGTATCCTACTCCTTATTTTTATATCACTCTTTTCTTACTATATATCCCCATTTGTTTTTTACATCTCTCCTTAAATTGATTTCTAAAAATAATTATTATCATCATATGTTTTTTTATATACTAATATGACGTTGAGCTGACAGCATTATATTGCTAAAAATAAGGGACTATAAAAGGCTATGTTACGCGTCATCAGTCAAGTCACGAACATCAGGATAATAATTTAATACTTTTTTTTTCTTACAAGACAAAAGATTAAAAAAACCACTACTTCAGTTGATATAATCATCAGCTTAGAATTCCATCGATACAATCAATTAGCCAGAAATCGTATTATGCTCCTCAAACAAATTGTGCTAATCAATAATCATATATTGTATAATTATATATATTACTATTAACTGTAATATTGTAAATAGTACCTACTCTTACCAAATTCAATTAATTTTACACACGAGAATAAACAAAATTTTAGCTACACAAATATTGTATATAAAGACGTGTTTTAATCATGTAAACGTTTAATATATTTCAATAGTTTCAATATTATACTCGACATGTTCAAATTAAAAAAAAACTTGTTGAATGGTGCAATATTTTTAAACAAATATAATACAACAAAACATTAGAATAAAGGTTAAAAGGCGTTATTTATATTGTTCAGGAATGAAATATGAACTTATTGTATTTTAAATTACATTTTTTTTTTATAATATAAAATAGTTCAAATATTTAAAATATTATACAAAACGTTATATTGTTAAATTATATTTGTATGATATATGTATACTTTGGGTTGGTTGGGTTATTAAAATTCACCTTTAAAAAAATATCATATTTGTTCATCTAAGTTTACTTTTCCAACTCTTTTCTTGTGAATGTCCAGAGTTAGATTTAATTAAAAAAATATATCTATCCTTTAAAACTTTCTATTCTTTTAAATTAAATACTTAAATTCACGAAACAAGACTTTTAATAAATCTGACTGATAATAACAATATTCCAAAACTTATAGAAACACAAATAATATTTAATATGAAAACTGTTATTAATGTCAATGCTATATTAAAACAAGATTTATCAACATAAATAATTGTGTCCAATATTTAACTAAATATATTAATTTATGGAGGTAATTGTATTATTTAATATGTAATTTATTTACATTAATTTATAATATTAACTACTAATTAATGCATCAAAGACACGAAATGATCAACTTTTCTGAAAGAACTTTTTTGCTTATGGTTTTTTTCTAAGCTATATTTTCTGTTTACTGATCTACTAAAAAAAATAATATAATATAGGTAATAAATTTGTAAGAACGAAACATGATAAATTAAAACCTACTATAATTTTTTTTTTTTAGGGGAAAAATGGCAACATAGGCCATTGGGTGATACTATAATTATAGTTCAACTAAATATATGCATATTCAGAAAAATCTTGAATTTATTGAAATTATATAAATAATACTTCATAAAATATTAAAATTTATTTAGTACTTAAATTAATTTGAAAATACATGTTTAAGAAAAGTGCACCTTTTGTAATAATATTCAATGTATATTTTAATAATATATTACACTAAAAATATCATGTAAAATATGAATTTTAGAAGACTTGTTCTTTATTTTGACTTTCCCAATTATTTTTCAAAATTAATATCAAACCATTATTTTAATTTTTAATTTTAATTTTTTTTGGGGCAAAGAACACATATTACGAAAAAGTGTTAAATAATGTCATGCAATATATTTTGTTTTAATTCCGTGCTGAAATCAATTGTAAAAAATTAAAATGATGATAATAATATAATAATTTAAATATATTACTGAAATTGATTAATTAAAATTTTTGAATTGCCAAACATGTAACTTCTGAGGACTCATTTTTTTAAATGCAAATTTTTGATCAAKCATAATATTTTTTACCAAAAATTTAGTGAAAAACTAAAAATTTTGAAGTTTTAGTTGTTTATAAACAGCTTGAAATTAATGTAATTATTTGAAAAACTGTTTTCTATTAAAAATTGATAAATTAATAAAACGTGGATTGTTTAAAATTTTCAGTATTATTTTTTAATAAAAAAACTTGCTTAAGGATAAATTGGAATGTTTTAGTTATAATTTCATCTTCCAAATACCAACTAGATTAGTTACTACCAAGTTAAAGCCAGAATTCATCGATTAAAACATGAAGGTTGAAGTATTTTACTAACTATAAAAAGTAACTTGTAAAAAAAAAAAAAATTAAAAAAAAAAATTAATCACGCATAATTATAAAACCAATACCGGTACAATGTACTTGTATTGTCAAATCAGAAAATTTAAAAATAAGCATTCACTACGAGACATTAATTTATGTTGAAAAAAATCATACAATTGTCTAAGAAAAACAGTAAAAATTATTTAGTGATTTGTTATGTAAATAACTGTTTGAAAAAAAGATAATCATGAAAAAATATTCAAATTAATCAAAAACTTATGAATGAATAGCTCAACGATATTTTAATGGAAACTTCTTTGATAATGTAAAAAAACTTAGGTATTCATTCCAGGACTGACAATGGAATATTATCAAACAAATTGTCCTTTTTTATTCATTTTTTATAATCTTCGAGATTTTGGTTGAATATCAAATTGATGTACTGTTTATTTAATAATATAAGTTTATAGGTATATATAATATTACATCTATTATATTTCGTCTAATAATAATATTAAAATTACTTTTATGTATTTTTTAAMTCTAGTTATTTAATGTACATTCTATAATACAATTTATTTGTGATCCGTAGGTAGGTACTTAAAATGAAAAGCCTTGTAATCAGGTTATGATATACATTCAAAAGATGACCACTCTTAGTATAATAATTTTTGACAAGATACATGTGTAGTACCTAMTACCTAGCTGCACTTGCGTGATGTATATATTTTTCGTATTGTAAACATACATTTATACCGTCTGTTTTAATCAAATTAACAAACATACAAGTGTAGCTTAAAGTTTTGAACAGTATTATCTACGCACGGTTCATTCAAAATGCATTAACTTTGTATTTTTAAACGTCAGTTTTATTGCTTGACAATATAACAGACTAAAACTTCTGTGAAATTATTGAAAATTAATTTTAGTCCTGATTAGGTTCGCCAATAGAAATATAAGAATTTAGACAAAACAAACAAATTAAAGCTTCAGAATATTCTGATGAAAATAGATACAAAACATTTTAATCTAGTTATTCTATTAGAAGATGTATTTTAAAGACAATTATAAAAATTTCATAGTTCAAATAAAAATATCAAATAAAAATACCTTGGCTATACTTTAAACTAACAAAAGTTAATAACATTTTAGTGTATATAAGATTTAGCGAATGAATAATAATGAAGTTCGAATGTTGTATAAAAAATTATAATTTTTGTTTATTTAAAAAAAAAAAAAAAATATTAATATATAATATTTTCTGAAATTATTATCGAATTTAGTCAGTGGTAAAATTATAGTATGAACAAATAATAAATTTAATTCTTATTATCATTTGTTTAAAAATTTTCATGATCTGTATTGATTATTATTTATTCTATTGCAGTAATCAGTAGGTATTTAATGAAAATATATTTTAATTTAAATCTTAATTTAAAAAGATCGTTTACTAAATGTAAAATAAAACATAGAAATAGGTAAAGCTATCAAATAATAATTTTACCAAATATTATTTTTTTAAACACAATCGCCACATTGCGAAATTTATGTAGATGCATCAAAAAACATAGAAAGAACTGAAATTGCATTAATTCAGCCAAACTCTCAAACAGCACTTTAGATCCTAGATTACAACACTATTTACATACCAGAATATCTAGCTCTTTTAAAAGCGACAGAATTAGCCACCATCTCAGATAGTTAATGTACAATCATATACACTTACTCTCTCAGTGCTCTCAAAAACTTAGTAAATCCTAATAAAGACAACCCTATTTGCACCCAAATATTCATAACCAAAAAATATATCAGATGTATACGGGTACCTGGACACAACAGTATACCAGGTAATGAAATCGCAGACAAAATAGCCAAAAGAGCAACATATGAAAAAACCGAATTTTGGAATATCTGAATATCACAACTTAT